GGGGAGGTCGGAGGGGGGGGGGGGGGGGGGTTGTTGTAAGGGGAGTTATGGGGGTTGAGGGGCGCCCATGCAGCTACCTTCCGGCACTGGAGTGATAGCAGCTGGGTCGGGAGCAGGCGTGGCTCTCCTTCCCGCCATGGATCGGGGCCCAGGCTACCTCCCTGTGCTGGAGCAATGGCTGCTGGGGTGGGAGAAGGCGTGGCTCTGGGGCTCAATTTTTATATTAAAATTACAAAAACAATATGAAGGAAGAAATTTTTGAAATTTCAGTGGCCTCTGGACAATGAGATTATGGGTAATTTTTATTTTCTCGTACTTATCCGATATTCCAAATATCCTATAGAAGCACAGTAAGAAAGAAAGAATTATTATGTTATTTTTGAATTAAGAAAATGGAATAGATTGCATTCCGTGGAAACTGACTAAAGTTAGAGCTCTCATAATGCCCCAGTGAACATATCAGTTCTTGTCCTTAATATTTCCTTAGCACTTAAACTGACTAGTCAATCAGATGTTAATAATAAAAAAGAAGCCGTTCCAAGCCTGGTGTGGTGGTGCACGCCTGTAATCCCAGCACTCGGGAGGCTCAGGCAGGAGGATCGTTGTGAGTTCGAGACCAGCTTGGGCTACATAGTGAGTTCCAGGTCAGTCTCAACTACATAGTGAGACCCTGTCTCAAAAAACCAAAAAAGAAAAGAAAAGAAAAAAAGAAGCCATTCCAAACCTGCTTGTAATTGTAGTCTTGTGGCTTCCCATTTCTGTCAGAAGGGTGATGGTAGTTTCTGGGATTTGTGCATACCAGCTGCTGGTCTTTGTGGTGCGGTGAGTCACACTGTGGGTGCTTTTAACTAAGAACTTACTTCTTATACCCAGAGCGTTTCACTCAGGGTGCTGCAGCTGCAGGAAACAGGAGGCAGTGGGATTGCAGAGCGCCTTGGACTCTACTGCAAATGATGGCAGCAGCCGACATCACTTCTACCTGCCCTACTGGTCCTGACGGTGAGCCTTTGGCCAGTTAGCAAAAGCTACCAATGAGGGAAGACCAGGGCCCCAAAACAGCTGTGTTGCTACTGCTTATCCCTTTGGGACTGTTTCCTCTACTCAGTATGATACCTGTAGATTTTGTACCAAACAAATCAAAAGACAGTGTTTTAGTCTCTCTTCTACCTCCAGAGAGACTTAACCTGCTAACCGTCCCAGACAGTTGGCCACTCTGGCCATGAGGAAGTAAAGGAGGGAAAACCCAGGCTACCTGTTCCCTGGAAGCGAAGGAGAAGGTACAAAGAAGGGCAGCGCCAGCTCAGTAACTTCTTTGCAACTCTGTGGAAGGCCAATCTTCTCACTAGTAAAATTGGAATTAAAAGAACAGCTATCCCTACAAGACTTGAAGATTCAACAGTTCAGAAATACTTGTAAAATTGCTTTGTAAGCCAAGGTGCTAGTAAAATGTTTGGAGTGTTTAGAGCATAACAATATTTTCAACCTGGATTTCTGTGTTTATATTTGAAGCTCTGGCATGACACTGCCTGAGAAAAAGGTCATAGCAACCTCTCGGCATTATCTTCGTAGCATGTGAAGTTTTTGGGCTTTTTTTGTTTGTTTGTTTTTTGAGACAGGGTCTCACTATGTAGTTGAGACTGACCTGGAACTCACTATGTAGCCCAGGCTGGCTCGAACTCACAGCGATTCTCCTGCCTCAGCCTACCGTGTGCTGGGATTACAGGCGTGAACCACCATGCCCAGCTAGGTTTTCATTATTTATTTCCCATGTCCCTCTTGAGTGCATGACAGAGGGAAGAGAGAGAGCTAAAGTTTGTATCTGTGTTACCAGTTGAAATATGCAAGTATAGTCAGCCCTCCATATCCTCAAATTCAACCAACCATGGAAGGAAAACAATTGCAAGGAAAGCCTGCATCTGTGTGGAATATGTGCAGCCTTTTCTTCTTAAACAATATAGTATAGCAGCCATTTACATAGCATGTGTGTTGTATTAGGTGATGATTTAAAGTATATGGGAGGATATGCATAGAGTATATGAAAATTCTATGCTGTTAAATATAAAGGACTTGGGCACTTACAGATTTTCATGTGCACAGGGTCCTGGGACCAATCTTCCTTGAATACTAAGGGATGAATACACAATGATACCTCAGTTGTCAAACAGCTCTAAGCTCGAACTTTCCATTGCTTGAACAGCAAAGTGTGAAGAAAAAAAATCTGCTTGATGTTTATAACTTTGCTTGATGAACTGAAAATCCAACATGAAAAAACCTGTAAGGAGTGAAAGGAAGCCACGTGTCATGTCTTATTGCAAACACCAAGGGGTAACCCTCCGGTCTAACCTCTATCCTCAGCCAGACAGCACATAGTGCTTTGTGTTAGTGCATGAAAACATTTGTCACTGTGCTTTTTTTTTTTTTTTTTTTTGCACTTCATTTGTGTAAAATATTATACCATGGCTCCAAAGAAATATAGTGATACCAGCAGTAAAGCTAAGAGGAAAACTGTGAGAACCATGACAGAACCGAAGAAAAGAAATTATTGTGAAATCTGTTAACATCCTGGAAAATGATTCTATAAGTGTAATTTTGGGGCCTTGGAGCTAATTATTTGGTTTTTCATTATCTCTCATTGGAAAATTTTGTTCAGTTCTTGAACTTTTCAATGTTTGAATACAGATTTGGAACGAATTGAGTTTGACCACTGAAGTGTCACTGAAATTCATAATTACAAATTTCAGTTGATTTACAATTCAATATGACAAGTACATTGGCTTAGTGTTAGTCATTTTCCTGTCACTGTGATAAATGCCCAGTACCCTAACCCTAAAGGAGAAGAGGTTAATTTGACTCATGGTTGCAGAGGCTCAGACCATGGCTGATTGGCTCTAAGCAGAAATGGTGTCATGGAACTGGCACCCCGGGTGCTCATGAAGTCTCTACCAGAGTCTCAGCCCCAGGCTGCTCATTTTTACAAGTCCCTCTCTAATGCATTGTTATTAGCATTATCATTATCATTATTATTAGATACCAGGGATCGAACTCCGGACGTTGTGCTTGTTAGGCAGGCAGTGGAACCACTGAGCTAAATCCCCAGCCCCTTCTAAGGCATTATTTTGATGAAAATTTAGGCACTTTGTAATTTAAAAAAATTATAAATCCTATTAAGTAGCTTACATTTCTTGACAAAATGGGAACTATGGCAGCAGAATCAAATTAGCAAAGCCCTGGGGTTACATAGGTAGTAATTATGGATGCTGTTTTGGCCTTTTGTAGTAAGAGAAGCGGTTGTAGTGTTTAGACACATGTTTAGTCTTGGCTTCTTGGGTTTCATTATTCAGCACATTTTTGAAAACAGAAATGCTGTGATGGAAAGGCACGGCAGAGGAAAGCTGCTCACCCCTGGCAGCCAGGAAGCAGGGAGAGAAAGAGCTGGAACAAGGACACACCCTTTCAGATCGTGCCCCCAGGACCCACCTCCACCCAGGCCCTGCTTCCTGACCACACATTCAGTTAAGAACATAAGCTCTACCTCTGCACACGTAAGACTTCTGGGGACAGAAGATCTAAACCTTAACGAGTGAGGGGAAACCCAACTTAAGCAAACAGAATAGAAATTTTACCACAACAAAAAGCCAGTCTAAAGTCAAAGCATGCCTCTTCTCATCAGCTGTGTGACAGGAAGTCACCGAAACATTCCGTACTTCAGTTTCCTCATTAACAAAATTAGAAGTGGAATTACCTCCAAGGTGTAACACTGGATTATAAAAACTCAAATGAAGAAGCGTTATGGTTTTTGGTAACACAGTTTCCTCTGCAGATGGCCAAGTTATTGTGATGGAAAGTATTCCAGAAAGTAGGAAGCAGTGGCAGTATGAAGCACCAGGAACCTTATTGAGTGTTTTGGCGGCAGCAGATCTAACAAGTAGCTCTTTTTCTGCCGGTGAAGGAGAACCTGGTATGTAGTTTATTTTTATTTTTTATTTAATTTCTTTTTTTAAACAGGGTCTCACTATGTAGTTGAGACTGACCTGGAAGTCACTATGTAGCCCAGGCTGGTCTCGAACTCACAGCGATCCTCCTGCCTCAGCTTCCCAAGTGCTGGGATTACAGGCATGCGCCACCATGCCCAGCTTATGTAGTTTATTTTTAACATACCCATACTCCTCAGTTCCCTGAGAAATTTTGTCAAAAATTTTTGAATACAGAAAAGGGTAGGAGTACCTTCAGCCTGGAGATAGACTGGGAAGGAGTCTAATTTTTTTAGAACTTGATTTGCTTTGTATAAGCCTGCTAGTAATGTCATTAACAAATGTCATGAACTTCCAAGGTCAGTGGCATCATTTTCTTTGATATTACCAATTGACAACTCCTGAAAGGGCTAGTGATTTTGTAGATCATTATCTAGAAACTGAGCTACTTAGCTCTCCCTGAGAGAGTCAGAGAGTAAGTTTATTTCTGACAGCTAGTTAGTGGAATATTTACTATATTTTTTTATTTTTTGTTTTTTGAGACAGGGTCTCACTATGTAGTTGAGACTGACCTGGAACTCACTTTGTAGCCCAGGTTGGTCTCGAACTCACAGTGATCCTCCTGCCTCAGCCTCCTGAGTGCAGGGATTACAGGCGGATTATAGGCATCCGCCACCACTCCGGGCTTGGAATATTTACTGTATAGTAAAGCCTCGGCTTGTGAGAATATTTGTTTTGGAAACATGCTTACAATCTAAAGCATTTATGTATCAAAGCAAATTTCTCCCTAAGAAATAGTGGAAACTCAGATGATTTGTTCTACAACCCCAAAATATTTATATAAAATGATTACAATACTGTGATATAATACAAACTAATAAAGAAAATACAAAATATAGAGAAAAAACCAAATTAACTTGTACTTACATTTGAAAACCTTTGTGGCTGGTGTGAGGAAGACAAGAAAGAGGAGGATGACTTTCATTATCACTAAGGAAATCACTGCTATGTATTGGTTCAGTTAAATCTTTTTTCTTTTTGTGCAACTGGAAATGTGACATTGGATTATCATCAAGTACATCCGTCACTCTCACTGCTACAGCCTTACTTGGGTAGTGCTTTTTTTTTTTCAGCTTTAATTGAGTTTATTGGTACATTTTAGGGATACAGTACAGTTACATTCATTGTTGGGATCTTGTACCTTTACATGACAGGTCTTGGTTCTCATTTTTCTCCCATACCCCTGCCCTCCCTTCACCCCCTCCTCCCCTCCCCATCTACAAACACTTTATTTCCATCTTTTCATTATCTCACATTTTTTTCTTTTCCCTTATTACCTTTCCCTTCCCCGTCCCACCTTCCCTACACCTTTATTTTTTTTTATATATAACATTTTGCACTGTTTCCCACATTTTAAAAATCTCCCTCATCTCATTTGAAGTGATGAATTCCACCTTTTTCTTCTCCTCCTCTGCAGAGGAGATCTCCATACTCTTGCTGTTGGAAGCTGATCACTCATAATCCTGAAGCAAGAGAACCACTGGCTCAGTTGTGATCATGTGACATTTGGATCACATAGTACTCGTATTGCATAACATCTCTGGTTTATCAAGTTAAAACTTAATAGAAATATTTGTTTGTCTTGCACAACACTCACAGAACAGGTTACTCTTAATCCAAGGTTTTATTGTACTAAGAAGATGGCCAGATTTCCCTTTCTGAAGTTCCTCAGGGGACATAAGTTTGAAATAATCTGTATACTAATGCATCATATTTTGAGATGGTGAAGTTAGGTAAGACCTAGACACACTGGACACGAATTCCAGGAAAAAGCCTTCAGGTCTTCAGTAATGATTTGTATGGTTTGGGGCCAGATTTTCAAGAATGGAAGTGAGGAGAGGCCGGGTCATCTGCTCTGTGACACCACAAGCTCATGATCCACTGCACAGAACGTAACTCCTGCTAAAAGAAGACAATGACTTGTGAACATTTCACAATGTGAACGGGCCACCCAACTGATTAGCAATTTCCGTCCCCCTTCCTATAATATAAGTTCCTCTGCTATCTACTGATTAGATGCAGGGAAGGTAGTCCGCCGATCCTGACCTGAGCTCTCGGCTTCCTTCCCTACTGGCCACCCAATAAAGCTTTTCTTTTTTCCAGAAACCTGATGCCATGGTATTGGTTTCTGTGCACTTGGGGCAGTGAGTCCTGCTTGATACCAATGACTCCTCCTTAACTCCTTTAAGATGTTGCATTGCTATAAAGAAATGAAATATTTGCTATCTTCAGTCTAATCCTTTTCCTAAGAGAAAAAAGTACATGTTTGGGTGTGTGTGGTACTAGTGATTGCATACGGAGCTCAGCCTTTCAGCCCTGCCCAAAAAGTACGTTTTTAAAGAATAAGAAAAAAAAAGTGTGTGTGCCCGCATGCACTTTGGGTTTGCTCTGTGGATGTTAGTAATTGAGCCTAACCATAAGCTGGACATTCATTTTACAGACACAAGAGAGAGCAAGGGCAATTCTTAAGTTTTCACACAATGCTTCTCTTAAATTTTTATCCAATTAAAGCAGCACCCCAGAAGTGGGGCACTGCCTATTGCATTTAGCAGAGCTCTGAGTAATTGAGCATCCAGTTGTCATCGCTGTCTTACTCCGTTTTACTGCAGATGATTAGCAGGCTTTACCATCACGCTTGGCATCGACCACGGCAGCTTTGGGATTATACTGCTCATCAAGTGTGAGCGGGGCTGCTTCTCTCTCACTTTCATTTCTTGAACAGTACGAACACTGAAGCAATGGCTTCCGGGAGAAGAAGACGTGGGGAAGGTAGAAATGGCTCCCTGCATTGAAGCAGCTGGGGAACCGCTGGAGCCAGCATCTGACGATGATGACACGTGAGTAGAGCATATGCAGTTGAGCATAGGTAAAAACAGTGAAAATGCTCTGACTGAGCCAGAAGACAGCTAACAGAGAGGTAGCTATGAGAACCAAGTTCTCCTTCTTTCTTTTCTTCTTTTTAAGAAACAGCCTCACTATGTTGTCAGGCTGGCCTGGGACTCCAAGGCCTAGGCGATCCTCCCGTTTCAGCCATCTGACCACACTTGTGTGCCACTGTACCCAGTTTAGGAGGCCAGATTTTACCATGGGCATCACTATTTTGGGATCTCCATTTTCTCAACTGATATTAATTTTTATATTTGCCTTGGTTTCCTCCCTCCTTCTTTTTCTTTTTCTTCTTTCTTTTTGAGACAGGGTCTCACTATGTAGTTGAGACTGACCCGGAACTCACTATGTAGCCCAAGCTGGTCTTGAACTCACAGTGATCCTCCTGCCTCAGCCTCCCAAGTGCTGGGATTGCAGTTGTGCACCACCACTCCCGGCCAATATTGTCTTAAAAACTCAGATGATGTCTTGGCCTTACATCATCTAGTCTTCATACCATTTCCTTCAAAATGATCTTAGCTGTTACTGCCTTTTATTCAACATTGTACATCTTTTCATTCAAAGTGTCATGTGAAACTTTGTTGGGATTTTGATGGCAATGACATTACATTTGTTGATTAAATAATGGAAACTGGCATCTTTATGAATTTTTGTGGGGGGGGGTGCTAGGGATTGAACCCAGAGCCTTTACATTACACTGAGCTAAGCTAAATCTTCAGCCTCTTTAAAAAAATGTTATTTTGAGACACAGTTTCAGTTTCTAAATTGTACAGTCTGGGTTTGAACTTGCAATCTTGCTACCAGCCTCCCAGAATGCTGGGATTACAGGCATGCACCACACAACTGCTATGATGGTTCCTCTAGACCCACCCATGTCATCACAAATGAGAGCATTTGTTCTAAGGCTAAGTAGTATTCCACTGAATGTACATACTGCATTTGTGCATTCATTCATTGACAGTGCTCATGAATCTTAATCATGGTATAGCTCTCCATCTGTTCGTTTTTGTTTTGTTTTGAGGCAGGGTCTTGCTGTGTTGCCTGGGCCAGTGCTGACCTTCTGGGCTCAAGTGATTCTCCTGCCTCAGCCTCGCTAGTAGCTGGGATTGTAGTCCTATAAGTATACTACCATACTTGGCATAAATGTTTTCTTTTTAAATTATTTTTAGTAACTTCTTTCCTTCCCCTTCTGCCTTTCCTGCTCCCCACCAACCCACCACCCTCCATTCTTATCTCCCTGGATCAAACCTGGGGTCTTGTGCATGCTATGGATAAATGATTGTATGTTGTTTCTAATTCCATCTGGATATTATCTACTGAGTTTTAAATTTAAATGAATGCATACTTTATGTCCAAGATAATTGTTTTTGTTGTATTCATATTTTTTATCATATATTCTTTTTTGTTTGTTTGTTTGTTTTTTGAGACAGGGTCTCACTATGTAGTTGAGACTGACCTGCAACTCACTATGTAGCCCAGGCTGGTCTCGAACTCAGCAATCCTCCTGCCTCAGCCTCCCGAGTGCTGGGATTACAGGTGTGCGCCACCATGCTGGGCTATCATATATTATTAGTGAATAATCATATATTAAATTAGCTATAATTTAAAAAATTTTGGCAGTACCAAGAATAAAACTAAGGCCTCACTCATACTAGGCAAGTGGTATATCACTGGGCTTTTTTTTTTTTAATGGATGCTCTGCATTGATTTATCCCTTTGAGCATATTAATTTTAAGAGAATTTAGTAAAATCCTCATCTGGAATTCACTGTCTTATTTTTGGTTTTCTGAGACAGAGTCTTGCTATGGAGTTCAGGCTGATATTGAACTCACTATGTAGCCCAGGCTGGTAGTAATTCCTGCCTCAGCCTCCCAAGTGCTAGGATTACAGGTATGTGCCACCACATGTTGCCTCGTTGTCATTTTTTTCTTTTCCCTCAGTTTATTATTTCCTTTCTCATTGTCTTTTTTTAGAAAAGAAGTTGGGAGTGGAAATACAGCGCAGTGTTAGAGCACTTGCCAAGCATACTTTCGACTTCGTGGAGACAGTGACTCTTACACGGAGTCACTCAGTTCCTAGCTCCATACCTCTTGTACATTCACATGAGCCCCTCCCTGTCTTTCTTCCTATCTTCCTCTTCTGAAGAAAAAGTCTCTCCACTGGCCAAAAGCCCATCTTTCCATGGGTCCTTTACATCTCCCACTCTTCCTGCTGTGACCTCGTTTCTATTAGTTGTGCACTTTTGTCCCGTGTCTTCAGGGCCTCTCTTCCTATTACAGGTTGAGTAGCCTTTATCTGAAATGCGTGGGACCAGGATTTCAGACTAACAAGTTAGGGGTGCCTGACTGGTACCTCATTTCCTTCTGCATGTAAACATACCCATCTCTTTCATCTTACCCAAAAACTATCACGTGGTGTTGTCTGGGTAACACTGTCACTGTCAGAGCCTGGCTCCCTGCAAGAGGAGCTGAGGCTCCGTGTCTGCTCTCTAACCTCTGTTGATTTCTCACTGACTTCTCAGGGAGCACCTGAAGCCTGCATCCTCAAAAGCATTCTTGCAAAGCTCTCCACCATTCAGGGCAGGTCATCTTCACCTCATTGTGCTCCTCCCTTTACTTCTGCTGTATGCCCATTCTTGGCTTTTTTTTTTTGGTCCTGGGCATGGAACTCTGGTCCTTGTGCTCGCCGAGGCAGGCGGCGAAACCACTGAGCTACATCCCCGGCCCCATTCTTCACTCTGACCAGTTCTCCTGCAGTCTCCTTCATGAGCTGCTTAAATACTGGAGATCTTTCAGGTAATTTTCTTGGTGTCTTGAGCTTTCTCTTTTAAAAATATCAACATTGTAATCATAGACACAATTTCATTTCTTGGTTCTGCTAATTACATATAGTCACGGGTCACTTAACAATTGGGCAAACTCTGAGGAGTGCATTGTTAGGCGATTTCATCATTGAGCAAAAGTAGAAGAGTACACTTTAAACATAGACTTAGGCCAGTCGCTTGATGTGGCCTCTTTCTGCAGTCAGGAGACACAGGAAATACATGTATGCAGTTGCTGTGGGTATAGTGCCATGACATACTGTTTTACAGTAAAAATTTTTGGTGCTACTGGGGATTTAACCTAGGGCCTTTGCACTGAGCTACATATCCAGTCCTTTACATTATTTTCTTTTTGATTTTGAGACAAGTTCTTACTAAGTTGCCCAGGTAGGGCTTTGAACATGTGGTCCTCCTACTTCTACTTCCCAGAGCACTGGAGTTTACCACCATGCCTATCCTATAAACATTTTTTTTGTTTGTTTTTTGAGACAGGGTCTCACTATGTAGTTGAGACTGACCTGGAACTCACTATGTATCCCAGGCTGGTCTTGAACTCACAGCGATCCTCCTGCCTCAGCCTCCCGCGTACTGGGATTACAGGCATGCGCCACCATGCCTAGCGCTATAAACATTTTTTTATAAGTAAGAGCAACCTAAAATAATGATAAAGTGTAGTATAGTAAATGCACAAACCAGTAACATAGTCTGTTATCATTATCCAGTACTGGGTACTGTGAAATTGTATATGCTGTACTGTTATATGACTGGCAGTGCAGTAGGCTCATTTATACCAGAATCAACACAAAAACCTGAGTCAATGCATTGTACATCAACCTTACATGTCAGTGTTATCACTAGGCAACAGGAATATATCAACTCCATTATAATCTTATAATTCCAGTGTTATATATGTAGTCCAAAATTGATGATAACATCGGTATGCAGCACACAACTGTAGAGCCTGTGAGACCTTGGACATCTTTTTTTTTCATCTCTCATGAGCCTCAGTGTCTTCCTGTAATCTGATGATAATATCTACCTTGAGTTGTTGGTCATATTAAACAAAATATAAGATGTGAAAGTGCCCTAGGACAGTGACTGGCATATATTTAGGGCTTAATATGTGGTAGCAATTTTATTCTTTTACTCTCTCGCTTCCTCCTCTCTGTCTCTCTCTCTGTCTCTCTGTCTCTCTCTCTCTCTCTCTCTCTCTCTCTCTCTCTCTCTCTCTCCCTCTCTCTCCCTCCCTCTCTCACACATCTCATTGAGCCTTCTTTATTTTATGGGTGAGTTCGAGAAATATAAACATTTAAAATATTTTTATTTTATTTTATCCCATCCCCCACCCTCTTGCCTCCCATGTACAAAAGCAATTTTCCCTTCTATTTTTACTTTTTCTCTTGCCTCTTCCTTCCTCCCACCCTCTTCCCTTGTTCCCTTTCCCATTTGAACATTTTCTTACCTTTTTCCCATATCTGTTATACATTCTAGTCCTTACCTTCACTTTTGGTTTCTCACACTAGAGAAACAATATGGTGTTTAAACATGTGTGTCTGGTTTGTTTCGCTTAACTCCCTCTTCTCTTAATCACACAGTGTTGGTGGATATTAATAAATACAGTAAAGGCTGTTCAACATGAGTCCAATTAAACAGAGGACTGTTCAGTTGTCTCCCAACGTTATCACTATTAGAAAAGCCAGACTGATATAATAAATAATTTATTACCCAAGTTAAAATACAGCTTTCATATTGCTCAAGTGGGGGTGCAGAATAAAAAGGGAAAGTAGTTTTCATCTTAGTGCTCTCATAACATTGATTTGTACTTCTTATGCTTTCAGAAATTTTGAAGAATCTGAAGATGAGTTGAGAAGCGAAGTAATAGAATCCTTTGAAAAGCTTGCTACTTTCAAAGGAGGAAACATGGAGAAAATTCCCCATATCTTTAAGGATGCTGCAATGTCAGGAGAGAGAAGGCGGTTAAATGTAACAAAATCTGATGAATTAAGTGAAGGTGTAGAAGCTGTTTCTAGTCCAGCTAATGACCAAATTTGTGTTGCTGGTGAGGACTAAAGAACAACAACCTACTCTACCATTAAGAAAGAAACCTGAGTCATTTGTAGGAAAATGGATGCATTTGAGACCATAATGTTAAGTGAAATAAATCAGACACACAGGCTTAAATTGATAGAGAGAACTTTTGTAAATAACCAAAAACCTACAAAATGTTAGGAAAATGTAGAATGACTTCTGCTTTTCTAACTGAAATTGGCTTTCTTTAGTTCAAAATTCACAGGCACTGGGAGGCATTAACCATAGAATGGGAAATCTGGCCTCATCCTGAGATAACAGGGCACTTGAGACCCAGAGCTCTGATGTTTTGTGAGCCACATGATTATAGGTTTTTGTTTGTTTGTTTGTTTCTTTTTTTGTTTGTTTGAGACAGGCTCTCACTATGTAGATGAGACTGACCTGCAACTCACTATGTAGTCCAGGTTGGTCTCAAACTCACAGCAATCCTCCTGCCTCAGCTTCCTGAGTGCTAGGATTACAGGCATGCAATACCAGGCCCGGCTAACCACATGATTGTAAAAGTATCAAGATGAAAAGAACAATTGTTTAACTTTGCTTTCCTGACCTTGAACACCCACTTCCTGTGGGCCAGAATAGGTAGCTAGGAATCTTAAAGGTAAACTCCCTAACTACAAAGAATTGCTACATTTGGGTTAAAATTAACTGTCTTGTGGGGATTTAGCTAAGTGGTTCCAGCACCTGCCTTGCAAGTGCAAGGACCCAGGTTGGATCCCTGTGTACCAACATAAATAAATAAATAAATAAATAAATAAATAAAATAAAGAATAATCTGAATCTCTTCGTTGTCTTAAAAAAAGAAAGTTAACTGTCTTGTGACCATGATTTGTGCATCAGTAATGTAAACTGAAGAAATGAAATGCAACCACCTGAATGAGATCATGGTGGTAAAACCTTATAATAGAAGAAGCTGTATCCCAGTAAGGTTGTTGATCACTGGCACTGCTTTTAGGGTGATTGGCCTTTTGTCGACAAAATAAACCTTTTATTATTTTACTTCCATTCTGTGTCTCTGTGCACGTCACTTACCAATTCCTTCTGCAATAAAATATTGCATGGCTTCTCTGATATGAGAAACGTGAATTATAGATAAAGAGAAAAATAAGATAAATACCAGGAGGTAGGGAAATAGCTCTTTCTGAAATGAGAAGAGATGGAGAGGGAGTAGGGAGAGGAGGGAAAGGGAATGAAAAAAGGAATTGGGATGCGTTATGTACATGTACCAACTCCACACAAGGGATGTAAAATTGTGTACTGCAGACATGTACTAATAAAAAGACACACAAGTGTGATTATTGTATTTTTGTGTGGTGCTGGGGATAAATGTATTATTTCTTAGTAAGTTAGTATACTGTATGTTAACTGTATTGTCTGGGTACACATCAAAAATATTCATGTAAAGGAGAGATTGAAAAATATGATGTTTAAATATTTTTAAGTTACAGTAAAAGACAAAATGCCATTAATCCTGCTCAAAATGCACCCCCCCGAACATGATGTATATTAACTACAGTACCTTGTTTGGGTACATGTCAAAAATATTCATGTACAAGGGGAGACTGCAAAATATGATGTTTAATTTTCTTAAATTATAGTAAAAGATACAATGCCATTAATCCTGCTCAAAATACCCACACACTTTGAACACGCTTGTCCCATCGTTCCTGATACTTTCTGAAGCAGTTCTGGAAGTCCTTCTTCATAAATGTCTTTGTAACGTGATTTTAAAAAAGCGTGAATGCTGCTTCTGCGTGCCATCTAACAGAACACATTGGACATATTTTACAATGTGTACCCTCATCCTCTTTTCACCAGACCCAGCACTGTGTGACTTCCGGTTCTTTGCCAAAGTCAAAATAATCGTGTAAGGTAAATGTTTCGAGTTGATTCAGAACACCTAATTAGCCATTTCAGTGCAACTAAAGACACATTCATGACAGAAGACTTCCAGAACTTCAGAAAGGACGATGGGATGTGTGTTTGAAAAGAGCTAAAGGCATCATAATACAGTGATACATGCATACCTGTTTATTTTTATTTTTAAAATTTTTAATGTATTTTTATTGGTACATTTTAGATATATTGATAACATTCATCATAGGGAATTTGTACCTGTGATTTATCTTGCTGCTTTTTTCTCATCCCCTACCCTCCCTTCAACTCCTCTTTCCCTCATTTACAAAAGTTTTGTTTCCATTTTTCTCCTTCTGTTCTTTTTTTCTTGTCCCTTCCCTCTTCTCCCCTTTCCTTGTTTCCCTTCTCATTTGAATGTTTTCTTCCCATTCCCAATCGCTATTATATGTTTTGGTCCCTATTTACACTTTCAGTCTCTCACACCAGAGAAACAATGTGGAATTTATTTATTTATTTATTTATTTGCGGCACTGGGGATCAGACTCAGGACCTTCTGTTTGCAAGGTAGGCACGGTGCCAGAGCTAAATCCCGAGCCCAACAATGTGATATTTATGTATGTGTGTCCAATTTATTTCACTTGAGTAAGGTCTCAATGTGCATCATTTTTTTTTTCTGGTACCAGGGATCAAATTCAGGATCTCTTGCTTACAAGGCAGGCACATTACCACTGAGCTAAATTCTCAGGTTCAAGGTACATCCATTTAGCTAGAAATACCTTGTTCATTGCCTTTATGGCAGAGTACTACTGCAATGTATAAAAAACACATCTTTATCCATTCATTGGTTGATGGGCATTTAGACTGTTTCCAAAATTTAGCAAACTGCCACTATAGACATGGGTGTACATATATGGCTGTGATATGATGCTTTTAATTCTTTCAGGAAGATACCAAGAAGGGGAACAGCTGAGTCAAATGGAACTTGTAGTTTTAGTTTTTTGAGGAATCTCTACACTGATGTGCACAGTGGTTGCACCAGTCTGCACTCTCACCAACAGTGGAGAAGGGTTCCATTTTCCCCACAGCCTTTCCAGCATGTTATTGGTTGATTTCTTGATAGCAGCCACTCTTTCCAGAGTGAGATGGAATCTCAATGTTGTTTTAATTTGCATTTCATGAATGACCAGTGATGTTGAACATTTTTTCATACACTTATTTGCTATTTCTGCTTCATCTGAGAAATATCTTTTCAGATCCCCATTTTTGGATCAGATCTTTAAATTGGGAGGGGACTGATATTTTTGAGTTCTTTATATATTCTTTTTTTTTTTGGTACTGGGGATCGAACTGAGGTCCTTGTGTTTGCAAGGCAGGTGGCAGAACCACTGAGCTAAAGTCCTGGCCCTCTTTATAGATTCTTGATAATAGTCCTTTATCTGATGAATAGCTGGTAAAATTTTTTTTCCGACACTGTGGGTTATTTCTTCATTCTGTTGGTGGTTTCTTTTGCTTTTTATTAAGCTTTTAAAAAGATTTTTAATGAGACCCCAGTTGTTCTTTGTGATATTTCCTGTGTGATGTGGGTTTTGTTCACAATGTCTCAGCCTACACAAATGTCTTTTGAGTTCTACCTACTGTATCTTCCAGCAGATTTAGTGTTTCTGTTTTTGTATTTAGATCTTTGATCCATCCTGATTTTAGTTTAGTGCATGGTGGAAAGATACAGGTCTAGTTTTAATCTTTGGCATGTAGAAAGCCAATTTTTCCAGCACCATTAATTAAAGAGGCTTTCTTGCAGTGAAAATGGCTCCTTTGTCAAAGATAAGGTGGCTGAGTATGATTGGAGTTGTTTCTGCATCTTCTAATCTGTTCCATTGATCCTGGGGTCTTTTTTTCCAGTACCATGCTGTTTTTATCACAGTAGCTTTTTAGTATAGTTTCAAGTCAGGGATTGTGATGCACCCTGCCTTGACTTTGTTTCCCAGAATTGCTTTTGCTATTCTGTCTCTTCTGGTTTTAAATGAATTTTAGGATCATTTTCTCTAATTCTGAGATACACTATTGACATTTTAATTGAGTTTGCATCAAATCTGTATAACAATTTTGGAAGTATGGCCATTTTCACTATATTGGTTCTATCTTTCCATCTTATGATATCCTCTTTGATCACCTTTTTCAGGGTACTGTACTTTTCTATGTAAAGGTTTTTACTTCCTTTTTTAGATTGATTCTTAGGTTTTCTTTCTTTCTTTTTGGAGATGCTATTGTGGAAGATACTGTTTTCCTAATTTCTCTCTCCATGTTTTTTATTTGTTTACAGGAATATTATTGATTTTTGAGTGTTGACTTTGTATCTACCTAGCTACACTACTGAATTTGGTTATGAAATGTAGAAGTCTTTTGGTGGAGTTTTTGCGGTCTTCTATGTAGAGTATCATGGGATCTGCAAATAATAATTTAACAACTTCCTTTCCTATCCTTATTCATTTTCTTTCTATTGTCTAATTGCTCTAGCTAATGTTTCCAGAACTATATTCATGATAGTGGACATCCTTGTCTTTTTTCTAATTTTTGAGTGAAAGGTTTCAGTTTTTGCACATTTAGTGTGATGTTGGCTGTTGGTTTGTCATAGATGGCTTTTATCACTTTGAGATAAAGACCATCTATATCAATTTTCTGTAGGTATTTTTTTAATCATGGATGGGTGTTGGACTTTGAAAAATGCTTTTTCTGCATCTATTGAGATGAGATATGGTTTTTGTCCTTAGTTCTGTTAATATGGTGTACTAATTTATTAATTTGCTCATGTTGAACCATCCCTGCATCCCTAGAATGAATCCTACTTGACTGTGGTATATAATCTTCTCCTTCTTCTTCTTCTTTAATATATTTAATCACTTTTTTTTTATTGGCAGTACCAGGGATCAAATTCAGGACCTTTTGTTTACAGGCAGGCACAGCACCACTGAGCTAAATCCCAGGCCCTTATAATCTTTTTGGCAAAGTGTTGCATTCTGTTTTCCAGTTACCTCCTTATTTGAGAATTTTTGCATCTGGGGAGATTGACGTATAGTTCTCTTTTTTGGCTAGATCCTTCTCTGGTTTTGAAATCAGAGTAATGTTTGCTTCCAGGAATGATTTGCGAGCATTGCTTCCCTTTCAATTTCATTAAAGAGTTAGAGACATAATCATGTTTATAGCAGCACATTTCAAAATAGGTAA